GCAAAAATAAAAAAAACCCCAAAAAACAAAACAAAAAAAAAAACAAAAAAAAAACAGTGCATTTACTGTATCTATTAAAATAATGCATAAACAGAAAATATATTAAATGATTGTCGGACTTAACTAATTTCACAATATGTTGTCGATTTTTACGTTAAGGTAATTTTTTTTTTTTTAAGCGTTTCACCCCAAGCAAGGCGGGAAGCCACTAGGATGCAAGGGGTTACAGAAGATTTGGAGAAAAAGCAGATAGGAGTGATAGAGGAAAGGATGAAGAGATGGATAGTGGATAGATCAAGGCAACTGGAGATGTCGATTGACATTACATTTGAATAGTTGGAGATTACAGCTCTCAGGGAAACTGGAATATGGAAGGGAGTTCCACAGGCGAGAGGTGCGAGACATGAATCTATTGGAGTAGAAGAGACGGCTACATTTAATAGTTTCGACTGTGAAAGGGTGATACTCCAATACATTTCTCTTGAATATCCCGTACTATTCTGTTTTTCTTATTTTCCTTAGACACGCTAGATTGTAGGTCTATGTTGAAAATGCGTTTCTCATTGGGAAACGCGTTTTTACGTTAGACTATTAAACGCGCGTGCGCGCGCACACACACACACACATGTGGACCATAACAAAAAGAAGAAGAAGAAGAAGAAGAAGAAGAAGAAGAAGAAGAAGAAGAAGAATACAAAATATGTCTATGTAGATATTATGGTCCAGGTTAGGACCAAGGAAGAAGTAGAAATAACGAAGGTATATTACACGAAACAATAATACAAGATGTGGAAAATGTTAGTGTTGTAGTTGGAGCCCTAGGACTGGTTGGAAAAGGTTCCAGTAGACTAATTGAAGGGATTCCTGGAAGTCCATGCTTCAAAGAAATACAAAAAAAATGTTCTCACAAGTACAGCCCACACTTTACGAAGGGCTTTATCTATGTAATTTTTTTTTTTTTTTTTTGTCATTGGAAAGTATCATGATGCCGTTTCTGACCTTAGGTCCCTGAGCGGAAAGAAATGTGTAAACGCCAGATATCAAAGGAAATAAATAATAATAATAATAATAATAATAATAATAATAATAATAACAGAACTTCTCTTTACCCAGGTGAAAAAATATGATTTAGTCAATATAGCCTTGGAAAAACATAATATCTATAAACGTGAAAACAGATGCAAAAAAGAGGTATGGAGAGTTTTTCAGAGCTTCTCAGAGAATTCGACGCATAAATAGTATTAAATTGGCTTATGAAGCCTCGTCCGGGTTCCTCTCTGCTCAGAGGCAGAGAGTTCGACCGTCAAGCAGAGAAGCTCGGGTTGATTCGACCCTCTCTCTTGAGAGGCGTAGTATACATAGTGTTAGCATGATTGAAAATCTGTCTTTCATCTGGTTCTAGCTTTTTGTGTCCGGATGAGGAGGAGGAGTTAAAAAAATCAAATATTAAAATAGCTGAAAAACATTAGTGATTTTAAAAGTTTTAAAGTTATATTGAATTTAAATTAACCTCAAAACTTTGTGAATTTAAAAATGTTTGTTTTAAATTCAGTGCATAATATCTCCAAAACCTTGTGAATTTAGGAAAACAATTTTATTTCTTCAAAATGCCAAGGAATCAGAGTTAACATCAGCGGCTTCCTGACGTGCGGTTTTGAAATTCCGCAGAGTTTGTAATTTGAAGAACTCAACTCAAGTATTGTTCCATGGAGTTTGTGATTTGAAGAACTCAATTTTCGGCCTAAATTGGAATTCCGTCTCAGATAATCGTTTCGAACAAAATCGGCGTTCCGGTCCAAATCAGTTTTGGGGTAGGAATTAGACGAATAGCACGAATCAGAGTTAAAGAGTGGTTTTGAAGTTCTATGGAGTGACTTGAAAGATTCAAAGTTATTTCTTCAAAATTATCATTACTGTTTTATAAGCTGGATCAGAGAACCTTTAGTTCTGAGCTGGAGTCCGAATTAGCCCTCCTCAGGAGCGAGGTTAAAAGTCCGCACAGAATGCGGCGTTTAAGCTAGTTTCCGATAATGTTTGAAATTCTTCAGAGAATCTGTCCGCTCAGAAGTTATGTACATAATTTTTGCCATTATGTTTCTTGATCAGAGATCAAAGCAGTAATAAGTCTAATTTTATTGACACCGACACCACGTCTGGACGCCGATCTTAAGGATCTGACCCTCTTTATGACTTGCTTAATTTTGTGCAACAGAAACACCTCAAATTTGTCATTAGCCGTTATTAAATTCAAGATCAAGGGGAAATAATTGTAGATCATATAGATTATCAGTAATTAACGCAAATTTTGAAAACAGAGATCTTTAAAAATAGTTTTAAAAATCCTTTTTGTTCTCTGTTGTTTATTTAACTGTAAGATTATTGCTTTAAATATCGGTGTCTAAAATCTCTCAGACGTAATGTTATTGTTCATGTGGACTTAGATGAATTGACGACAGCTTGAGGTTGTCTGTTTTTGGGGGTATTTTTTCAAACGTTGATCTTCTTATAATGTTTTGAAATAATTTAACTTCCTCTCGGTTGTGACGCTTATATAATACAGTTTTGCCGCGTGTGCACATTCCAGGTCGAACCGGAGTTTAGATGTTGTGAGCAAAGCCAATTACATCTTTAGAGGCCCGATTCTGCACCTGGTGGCTAATAGAACTCCTTCTACAGTGCACCTGCCTTCTTTGATGTTTTAGTGTGACATCAGAAGCAAAGTGTAAATTAGTATATCTTATGGAGAGCCCGGTGCATATTAGTATCACCAGATATCAACTCCTATTAGAAGAAATGTTACTTATTGACATTAGTTTCGATTCAGGCTGATATTTCCTAGCGTCGGTTGGTTGATTGATTTTTTACGGCTTATCAATCCGTTGTGGGTTATTTAAAGCCCGTGTTGCTTTCAATCCCCATTGGAATGACTGCAAAACACTTGCCCCTTCCCAGACGCACACAAAAGCATGCTGGGGCCTTTTTCCTAGCCAATAGAATAGACAGGTTCTCGGTTTCTCTATGAATCACACTTCGGCGTCGAGCTGTCCAGTGGGTGCTAACACCGATCAAACAAGGATATTACTTGCAAATGATCAACATTATAGAAATATTAACATTATAATAACATATTTAATAATAATATTTGTTATTATTATTATTATTATTATTATTATTATCAATACGATAAATGTATTCTACTTAGAACTTAGAATCGAACCCTTTATTAAATATACGGTATTCTGTTCGAAATACCGAGAAGTTTGCCGAGTATGAAGAGAGAAAACTGAAGAAGGCCGGAGGATGCGAGGGCCGAAAAGTTTTGAATATAAAAACGAGCAAAGCAGACGGGTCCGAATAGAAAAGTATATTATAGCGATAAGTCCTTATCTAAAAAAAAATTCGACAAAAATTCCTTGAACTGCTGATCAGATCAAGGTTTGGAACCGTATCAAAATGGCTGCAGCAAATATAAATAAAGGCAGCTGTAAAGTTGCCGAACCAGAAATTCCCTCATTAGAAAGACGCACCCAAACACACACACACAACCAGCCAACCAACCAACACACACACACACACACACACACACACACACACACACACACACACACACACACACACACACACACATATATATATATATATATATATATATAAAGAAAATAAAGAAAATATTTTTAATATGCTGTTTCTCGTTCTAAGCTTTCGGCTCACATGAGCCATCATCAAAGTAATGTCCACATAACAACTCCAATGAGTGATATATATATATATATATGTGTGTGTGTGTGTGCGTGTGTGGGTGGGTAGGTGTCTGTGTGTCTATAAATAGCCAGACATACACACATATATTGTGTATTTTGGCTGACAAGGTATTTCTGTAAAGTTTGTTTATTGCATTTTTCTTGTATGTGAGTTCGTCGAAAAGACAGCCATAATTAACAATCAAGTATTTGGAGAATTTTTGTAAACACTAAGTTCCAAAAAGAAATCTCTTATTCGTACAGAGGAAAAACGCCAAAAAAAAAAAAACTGTTGTGACCAAATAAATGGTCAAAAGAAATAACAAAGCAAGTGTTGCAGATATATGATATATTAAACAGTAAGTACAACAGAACAGTATTACATGACTAGTGAGTGTGTGTCGATTGACCCAGCGTTCAATCTATTCGACTGTTACCCCAGGGCCTTCTCTCCTACTAATCTTATAGTAGTCCAACATAGACTGTTTAGAAGGAGGAAACAAAAAAAACAAAAACAATCTTATCCGAAGTATGCTGTCATATGATCTTAATGAAATAAACATACGCGTACGCATGCACACAAACACATACACACACAGACACAGACAGACATATAAATATAATTATTATAAAATTATTATTTAAAAATATGTATTCGTCGCTACACTGAAATTACTGTTTCGGAACCAAAACCTGAAACCTAAATTAAAATTAAAATTAAAGTTTTTGTTCCATTCTCAAGCGATGTTGAATAACTTTCGAAAAAAATTATTTACTTTTTTTAAAGCCAAACATATTATATTGTTTAAGTTGGAGGGGGAAAGAGACTACAAAATTTTGTAATTTTTGCCAGTCGATACTGACTTCGTTATGTGAAAACGTGTCATCAATTTCTGTTTTTTTATTTATTTAAGGGCATACATACAATACATTGGCATTTTTATTTATTTTTTATTTTATAAAATATAATGGAATTGTCTTAAAGGGGTATCAAATATGAGTAAGTCATATTTTATATATTTATATTTTTATTCATCAAGGTCCAAAATACTATATTTACTATATATATTAGTATACATGATACGGTGTTAAAATTAAGCTATGTGTGTGTGTACAAAAATTGTCAATTTTTCCAATGATTTTTAAAAAAAAATTATTAATTAACTCTTCTTTAATACTGGGTTTCCTAAAAAATTATTAAAAAAATTATTATTCTTTTAGTTTTGACTTGTGTGGGCCTGCGCCCACGTCGAGGAATACTTACGACCATATCACCTTAAAACACCGCTTCTCGTATGATGACCAAAGTTAAGCAACCTCGAGCTTGATCAGTGTCTGGATGGGTGACCGATTGGGAATACCAGATTACTGTAAACTTAGATTAGCAAGTGGTGTAATGGATAACGGCAAGAAAATTTAATCGGATAGCCGAGTTTCAATTCAAATCGGGTTCGTCATATTCAATTTCGCGAAAATATCCTTGGGAAAAAAGCACGGATCCACTCGTTCTCCTATCCATGGGTTAATTATTAGCTAGGTACGAAGCTTCGTAAACCACTTTTGACTTATTCGACCTTGAAAACCGCCTTCTCCATAAATTGCTGAAATGCCATTAATTTCTTTCCAGACATAGTTTATTTCTTAAGATAAAATTAATATGCTAAAATATCTATCTTCATTTAGATTCAATAAAGAAAATAGGCCGATACAAAACAGGCTGATATGACGTCTGACAATTTAATAAAATCCATGAGTCATTCTTACTAAAGGAATATGAAAGATAAAGATAAGGGTTAAACCTAGAATTGAAGAGGTCAATATTTTAAGGATTGAGAAAAGATCCTGATGGGAGTCTGTTCCACAAAGCAACAGTTCCTGGGAAGAAGCTGTCTGAATGGGACATACTATAGAATTACGAAAGGGAATGTACCAGTTAAACCTAGAATTGATTAGGTCAAGATTTTATTGATTAAGAAAAGATCCTGCCGGAAGTCTGTTCCACAAAGCAACAGTTCTTTGGACGAAGCTGTCCGAATGGAACTTACTTCTTACTATAGGAATACAAAAAGAAAAAAAATAACCGTTAAAATTAGAACTGAATAAGTCAAGATTGTAGTGATTGGGAAAGCATCCTGCTCAGAGTCTCTCCCACAAAGCAACAGTTCTTGGGAAGAAGCTATCTGAATGGAACTTACTTCTTACTATAGAAATACAAAAGGAAAAGATAATGGCTAACCCAAGACTTGAAAATGACAAGACAGTAGTGATTAGGAAAATGTCCGGATGCGAGTCTGTTATATATAGCAGCTGTTCTTGGGAAGAAACTGCCCAAGTGGGACATCTTATTAATGGAATATGAAGGAAATAGAGGGAGATTTTAAACACAGTATATTTAAGCATCATTCCTTTGTTTAAGCATGTTATATTTAATATAACGGACAGGAATTTTGGACGAGTTTCTTCTGGTGTCCAGTACGTCCGTCTCATATCAGGTGGAATCATTTAAAGGAATTTGCCGAAATCGCGTATTATGTAATACTTTCGACCATTTTTGGTCGTTTCCAAGGATAACAAAGAAATTAGAAAGCCGGGAGATCGCCAGAGGGCGTTTATGTTTAAAGTTCTTAGGCATTTTAACATATGCTCACCTGGATAGAAAGAACTCTTTATTAAAATCGGCCTTTGATGTAAAAGGCTTCCAGTATTTTTTATCGTTTTCCGGTTAGACTGGCAGAGTCATATTTCATTTTCACTCAAAACCTGACGGGAATTGAAAGTCAGCGGTGGATTTTTCGTTATATTTTTTTATAGGGCGGTTTTGAAAGCAGTACTGACTAGTGTGGACGAACCACACTGAAATTACGCATAATAATTGTAAAACGCATATGGGTATATAATTATACAAGGATTACTGATAGATTGGTAATATTAAACGCAGAAAGACTTCTACTTTTAAATACAAGTGCAACTATTATAGCATTGTGTAATTTTTTTTCTTGGATTCAATCTTCACTGTCGGTGTATGGAACATGAGAGACTGCAAAATTGGATTTTCTGTATCTACATAGCGTGCCATAAGTTGAACTTTGTCAAGCCGATATTTCTGTACTTCCAACGGTCTAATTTCCCGTCTCTTTTATTGCTGAGCGGTACAGAAAATGTTGCTTCATGTTCGAATTGACTTCTTTAAGGAAATCAATACATCTCCACCTGCACAAAAGGTGCCAGCGCAAACACGTTTTATTCAGAGAATCGTCTGTTTGTAGAGAAAGGATTCGACAGGTGGAACTATGCTTGGTTAGTTCTTTACTACGATGCACAGACGCGAGTAGATCTTTAGCTTTCGCCTCATTAAGTCCGAACAAAAGACACATTTTTCTTTTAAAATGCATGAAGCAACCACAGAGTGAGTAGAGTTGCACACATGAAGAATAACTTGAATAGTACCCTGCCTCCTCGTTAAAAAAAGGTACATTTCGGAGAATAAAAATAAGTATAGAATTTTTTCATTTTAGCGGACATAGATATGAATATAATGTGAAAACAACTGAAAGATAATCATGGGTATACAGAAAAGGCATCGACTCGCAACATTTCTTAGAATATGACTAAAATGGTTAAACGGGTTTGAACATCTTTGACGTAAAAGTCTTCTTAACAAGTTGAAACGTTATGGTGTCTCCGGACGAATTTTTGAACTGATCTAGTCTTTCTTATTAAATCTTCAAATGAAAGTTATACTGTCTATATCTCTGAGATGAGGTATTATGATTAGGTTTCGACTGTTGTAGGCTCCGACCTCCTTCAGCATCTCTCGATGTCTTTGAGCTGAGGTATTATGATGACTTGCATTATTTACATTATTCGGACTGTTATCCGCAGCTTCATTGCCATATTCACATACTGACATATTCACAACGTTTCGGCCGTTGTACGCTCCGACCTTCTTCAGGATCTCTCTATATCTCTGAGCTGAGCTATTACGATGACTTGCATTATTTACATTATTCGGAATGTTATCCACAGCTTCATTGCCATATTCACATACTGACATATTCACAACGTTTCGGCCGTTGTACGCTCCGACCTTCTTCAGGATCTCTCTATATCTCTGAGCTGAGCTATTAAGATGACTTGCATTATTTACATTATTCGGAATGTTATCCACAGCTTCATTGCCATATTCACATACTGACATATTCACAACGTTTCGGCCGTTGTACGCTCCGACCTTCTTCAGGATCTCTCTATATCTCTGAGATGAGGTATTATGATAACTTGCATTATTTACATTATTCGGACTGTTATCTGCAGCTTCATTGCCATATTCACATACTGACATATTCACAACGTTTCGGCCGTTGTACGCTCCGACCTTCTTCAGGTGATTAGAATTTCAAACATGGCCCAGTGGATAAAGTGACTAGACCTAAATTATTGTGAGTGCAACATCAGGCCACAGCAATGGTGAATCAAAAACTTGGAGATTTGAGTTAAAGGGAAATAACTGAGACATCCGGAAGAGACATGGCACGTGGAACTGGAAAAATCTACTCCGGTGGACGAAAAATTAAAGAGTTCGGCTTGAAATTCCAATCATCTGAAGCCATGGCGTCTCGGCTTCAGTCACTTTCCCACCGCCGTTAAATAACTTGGCTGCGCATTTTCTATAAATACTTTTATGGTAGTTGTTCGCGAGATACTCTTCGCTATGGTACTTAGACTTTATGAATTTTAGCGCAGTACTAGATTGGCGGAAAGGTCTCATAAATTCACTGTGGAATTGGTTAGATGTAAACTATGCTAACAGTTTCTTTTCTCGCACTTCTCGTTTGTTGAACTCTCTTCCGGCACCATGATCTCCAGAAAACGATGATCTTCAAAAATTGTAATGAAATGTCAATGCTTATCTACTCCCTTCCTGATTACTCTACTTTTGTTCACGCGCCTTAATAAAGTTTCTGCTTTCTAATTCTTTACATCCAGTACTGTGGCGTAATATATAGCGGCTCGGTTTTGAGGTATCGGAGAGCCGAGTTAAATTCCAGTCGCATCCATTACATTCACTTACATGCTAATACCCTTGGGAAAGGTATGAATCATCTTCTTCTGCTCCCAGCTTAAATGCAATAAATCTTCAAGGGTGGTTTGTGCGATCATATCACCTTAGATGGCAACTGGTCTGCCGCAGAAAGAAATGGTAACCCACTGTCTCGTCAGTCATGTATCGAACTGTAGAATAACAATAATAAACAGCACTTACCGGTGTAAAGGTCCCAGCTAGCGTCCAGCTGGCAAACAAAAATAAAGCAGGTTGTAACTTAATACAAACCCTGAAAACTAACTGATGAATCAAGCTGGTATTTATATAGAAATACCTCCATTCAGGTACCAGCAGCCAATCACAGCCCAAGCAATGGACTATCCCACTTTAGCACAATGAGATGCTACATGGAAACATAAATAGCTCTCTTTCTAAAGGTTGGATGATTATTCACTTAGCTTGCTCCACAACTGAGTGTTTATCTCTACCACGTGATTTTTCTACACGAACGATAGATGACTGACGAAACATTTGCCATTTCAGTCATGTTTCATGATCGCCTTAGCGTGTATCACTGACTGATCTCCTTGAATCTTAGTGACTTTACTGCCTTACATGGGGTTAATTCGATTAAAAAATGACCAGTCATCAATATTTTGGGGAGGAGATTTTAAGAAATTGACCGAAACACATTCACTTGCTCTACCGCTCATTACACGGAAAGTATTTGGGACGAACTATATTCCTTGATTATAGCAGTTATAAACTTAACGGCTAAAACCCACCATACCAGCAAAGCATCCTCATTCATATCTTATTCCATTTGTGAGATTTAAGCTCCACTGGAACAGCTTCTCTCCATGAAACGCTGTTTGTAGAAACGACTCCCAATAAGATGATACCCAGATCACTTCAATTCAAGTCTTCCCCACCCTATCCCCATACAATCTGCCTCTTACTCTGTAACTCTCTACACAGAGTGACTCTTGGGTCTTGTATAGAGTGAACATGATTGTAAAAAAATCTATAATAAATTTAGGACATTCAAAAATTAGATTCACAACGAGGACAGACTTGAAAAAAAATTAATTCCTCAGTGATGCTGAAGGGTAGGTCCTAACATATGTATGTATGTATGTATGCATGTATGTGTGTGTATCTATCTCATTCTTTTCATATTTACATATCACTCCATCTCATTCTCTTTATATTAATCCATCTATCTCTGTTCATATCTATCTATCTATCTATCTCTGTTCATATATATATATATATATATATGACTGTTCCTATCTATCTCTCTCAGAATGTTCATATCTGCCTGTCTGT